TTAAAATATAGTTATGCCTGTTTACTAACTTTTAATTAATTTAATAAGTTTATAATTATAATAATAGCTTTACTTTATTATTAATACTTTATTTTTTTTAGGTAGTGTGTTATTTATATAACTAATATTTTTTTTATATTTTTTTATATAAATAATAGTAAATAACCTAGGATAAAGTTAAACTGTAAATTTTTTAAAAATACGCCTAATTTAAATATAAAAATAAGGAATATAATAAAAATAATAGTAAAAAAAATATATTTAAGTTTACTTTAAATAAATAGCACCTAGTAAAACCACTAGCATTATAATTAAATTTTTAGGAAATATAATTAATTTTATTATATTTATAAATATTTTAATGTAATTTTTTTAGGCTTAAATTAAGTTAAATTTTTTTTTTATTTTTTTAATATAACACGCTTTTAGAATTAGGCCAGGATCTTATTTTTTATTTAAAATAAATATTTTTTAAATTTATAATAATTTTTATAATAATTTAATTACTATTAGTATCTAAATAACTCCCTATTTTTATCTTTTTCTTTTTTTTTTATTTTTTTTTTTTTCCTTTTTTTTCCCCTTTTTTTTTTCCCTTTCTCCCTCTCTCCCTCTCTCCCTCTCTCTTTTATTTTTTATCTCTCCCTTTTTTCCTTTCTTTCTTTTTCCCTCTTTCCCTCTTTCCCTCTTTCCCTCTTTCCCTCTCTCCCTTTTTTCCTCTTTTTTTTATTTCTTATCTCTTACTTTCTTACTTTATTTCTTTTTTTTTTATTTCTTATTTCTTACTCTCTCCCTTTCTTTTTTTTATTATTTATTTTTTACTCTCTTACTCTCTTCCTTTTTTTTTTTTTTTTTTTTTCCTTTTTTTTTTCCTTTCTCTTTCTTTCTTTCTTTTTTTTATTTTTTTTTTTATTTTTTTCTATACTTAGCGCCTTGGCTAGCGGTAATATTTTAGTTAAAATTTAAAAATTATAATATTTTATAATAATAAGTATAGCTACCTTTAATACTTATATATATTTACTTATATTAATACTTTATTATATAATTTAAATAATACTTAAATATTTTGAAGTTTCCGCGGGATCTCTTAGTTACTAAAAACTTTAAAAAAACTATTTTTTTTTAAAAAATAATAATAATTATTTTTAATAACTACTAGCGCCATAATAACATTATTAAATATAAAAAAAAAATATAAAGTAAAAAATAAGTATAAAAATATTAAAATAATATAAATTACTTTAAAATTTTTTACTAGTGGTTTAGTAACTTAGTATTTTATTATTAATTTTTTAAGTTTTTTAATTTAGTTTTATTTTTAGCTTTATTCTTGCCTTAATAATATTAATAATATTATTTTAATAATTAAAACTTATTATTAAATAAAAATTTAAGTTTCTTACCTATAGTTTTTTTTATAGCCTTTTTTAATTAACTAGCCTTGTTTTAATTTAGCTAGGTAATTTTTAGTGCTAGTATTATTATATTTTTTTAAAAGCTAGTATTATTAAAAATAAACTTATATAAAATAAGATTATAAAAAAATTATAAGGTGCTTACTAACTCTTACATAATATATATATAAATAAAAAATCTTAATAAAAAATAATTTATTATTTTTTACATGCCCGTGGAAATTAAAATTAAGATCTTATTTTTAATTAATAAGCTAGATAACTATATTATTAAGGTTTTAAGTATACTTTACTAGGTAATTTTAAAAATATAACTATATAAATTACCTTTTAGTATGTAATTATAAGTTAATATAAAAAATAATTTTTAAAAACAAGTAATAATATATAATAAGTATTTTTTTAATAATTAAATATAATACATGTAGTAGGATATAAAAGGTGCATGAATAATATAAAAATATTAGGTTAACCTAGCTAGTTTTATACAGGCTACTAGGATTATTAGGCTATTTAAGGTAAGTATTTTAAATACTAATATATTTTTTAGTATAAAGCTTATAGGGGCGTAATTTTTAAAAACTATATAAAATTATTTTTTAAACTTAAATCCTAGTTTTTAAAATAATAATACCGCCCGCGTGTTAATAAAAATATAGCTTATAAAAATATAATTTTTAAAAATTATATAAAATTATTTTTTAGACCTAAATTCTAGTCCCTAAAATAATAATACCACCCGTGTATTAATAAAAATATAGCTTATAAAAATATAATTCTTAAAAACTATATAAAATTATTTTTTAAACCTAAATCCTAGTCCCTGGAACAGCCTAGTAGTGTATAATAATACTTATTAATTATTTATACTAAATTTTACTATACTAAAAGTATTATAAAATATATAAACTTTTAAGATATTATATCCTACCTTTATTATAACTTAAGCATATTAAAATTTATGTCTTATGCTAACTATTTAAAAAAATAGGCAAAAAATTAATAAGATATATTTTAGGAAGCTTTTTAATAGGACCTTAAAGTTATTATTTAAGGCAGACTTTAATAAGGGTGCTGGTAATAGTAATAATACACTAGTTTAAAATATTAGCTATATAATTAAAATATTATATTATATTTATTATAAAGGTCCTGGACTTATAAAAAAGCATAAAATATAAAGGTAGTAGCTACTTAAATTTAATTTATTATATTTATTATAAAGGTTCTAGACCAGCGCGGTTTATTTATTTTATAGTAAAAAAGCTTATTATTATTACTTAAATAAGTTAAGTAATTTAAATAAAAAAAGCTTATAAAAAAGCATAAAATATAAAAATAGTAGCTACTTAAATTTAATTTTAATTTTAAAAAATAATATTAACTAGCATGGTTTATTTATTTTAAAGTAAAAAAGCTTATTAATTTAATCTTAATTTTAAAAAAAACATTAACCCTTTTAAGTAAAAAAAATAAAATAAATAAAAAAAGCCTAGCCCTAGCCCTTGCCTATATTTACTAAAAAAAATTAAAATAATACCTGTGGGTTAATATTATAAAGCCCAAGCTAATTATTAAAAGCTTATTAATTTAATTTTAATTTTTAAAAAAAAACATTAACCCTTTTAGGTAAAAAAAATAAAATAGGTAAGAGAAGCCTAGCCCCAGCCCCAGCCTATATTTACTAAGAAAAATTAAAATAATACCTATAGGTTAATATTATAAAGCCCAAGCTAATTATTAAAAATATTATAAAAAAACTTAATAACACCCGTGGGTTAATATTATAAAGCCTAAGCTAATAATTAAAAATATTATAAAAAAACCTAATAATACCCGTGGGTTAATATTATAAAGCCTATGCTAGTTATTAAAAATATTATAAAAAAACTTAGCAAGCTAAAAAATAAGCTCTTAAACCACCCTATAAAATAAAAAAAAAAACTTAAAGTTAAAAATATTATAATACTATATTTATAAATATATTAAGCTAAAGTAAAAACTTATAAAATTATATTTTTATTTTAAACCTAGTTTATATTTACTTAACTATTTTTTATTAAATTTTTTTAAATTAAACTTTGCACTAGGCTACCTTTTTATTATTTTATTTTTATAATATAATAATTTTATTATAAGTACTTAGCCTAAAAAAWTTATTATTATTATTTACCTTTTATAAGCAAGTGCTTATTTTTAACTATAATTTATAATTAAACTTTTATACCTTATACCTGCACCTAGCTTTAGCTTAACTTTATTTATTTATTTTTAATAAATAATAAATATAGCCTAATTATTTTAAATCCCTTTTAATATTATTTTAGTTAATACTTTTTTATTACTTAATATAAGCCTTTATAATATTAATTATTACCTAGGCACTTTACTACTTATTTTAAAGTATATTATTATTTTAATACTATAAATATAATTTAATACCTATTTAAAAAAAAACTATTTTAATAGTAATATAAAACTAAAACTAAAATAAAAATATAATACTACTTTAATATTATAAATATAATTTAATACTAATTTAATAAAAAATATATTGTTTATAATATAAAACTAATACTAAGGCTAAAATTAATAATATTTTAATATTATAAATATAATTTAATACTAATTTAATAAAAAATATATTATTTATAATATAAAACTAATATTAAACTAAAATAATACTAGGCTTAGTAATAATATTTACCTAAAAGTAATATTAATTTTTTTAATTAATATTTTCCTACTAAACTAATAGCCCACTAGTAATTATATTACTTATAATAAATAATTACCCAACGCCTTAGTGTTGGATAACTATTACCTAATTATTATTTAATAAAATTTCATTATATAACAGTTAAATCGCCGTTGGCCGGGACCCCCCGGAACCGGCATGGTTATACCATACACTGTCCGGATTTGCCGCGTAGCTCCCGCCGCAGAGAAATATAGTGATCACCACCAAGGCCTCAAGGGCTAGATGACAATGAAAATAGATAAACTGGCATCAAGGCTCGTATCAAGAGCTCTAAGAGAAATCTCGGCCGTTAGCTCATGAGCTAGACCTCGAATGCCAGCTGTGGAATAGCGCAATTCTACGTCTCGTATTAGACCTCACTACCATAGTCGTCTAAGATCGGAATGCATTGCGTGATGATGCTGCTAGCTGCTCAACGTTGCTACTACTATATTGTGCCTGCTATGGCTTCGATCACAGAAGCTCTGCTACTCACCACTACCGGGGTAGCCTTCATGATGGTGAGGCGAATGACGCTTTTGTCTGGTGTACCCTATGATCTGCACAGCTGGACTGGGCTACCGTATCTACGATATCTGGGGGGGGGACGACAAGTTCTTTGCGAAAGGGTCTCTAGGGCCAATGCCCAGTGAACCCGAAGTCAATTTTCTAATCTTTTCTCTTTCGCCTTTTTTTCTATCATTTTCAGAGTTTTCTATATCAGCCCCCACCACTCCTTCACCAACATCCCACCAACGCACCCAGCTGCTATGCTATCTATCACACCCATTCCACCCTTCCAGCCTCCCAGGATCCAACCCCCACCACCGTCCCATACCCATCTAGTCACACCGCGGTCCAAAAAGCACCTCATCAAACAGCACCTGCCCCTGCAACTCGCTCCCACCCTCCCCAAAGCCACAAACAGCCTTCAGCGAAATCGTCATATTGCGCTCAGGAGGCGTGATCTCGCCAGTCAGAGGCGCCCAGTCCCCAGCCTCCTCAACAACCAGGCTCGCAATCTCATGCTCGCCCAGCAAAGCGGAAACCGTGCACCCGTTAATCAAACCAAACGGCTCCACGAGGCGGAAGTGCACGGTGAGCTCGTAGGGGACTTCGTCGTCGAGCCAGTAGAGGTCTTGGTTCACGGTGCCGATGGGGTACTCGGGGGTTGTTGCGATGGTGCTGGACACGGGCATGGATGTTAGAGGGGGGAAGGGTGTTTTCAAGCTGGTTGGAGGACGTACACGAATTGGTCGCCCGCGTAGGCGTCGCCGGAGCCGACCCAGGCGGTGGTGTAGTAGGGGTTTGCGCCGGGGTACCAGAAGTCGAAGCCGCCTTCGAAGGAGGGGTTGTTGATGTCGTTGCAGGGCATTTTGGTTGATTGGGATTGAATTGTTTCAGGGTTTTCTGTTTCTGTTTCTGTTTCTGTGATCGATGAGGGAGAGGACAATGCGGGTGGTAGAAGCGGGTTTATATAGCTATAGCATCACCATCAAGGGGGCTGTGTAACTGTAGTAGGATACACAAAGTAAACAAGCTCTCTCATCCAAGACGATGCAGGGTACAACCCCCCCACTGCAGGTACACGTATAGGCGAATGATAAACAGTGCAGCCTAATGGTTTAGTACGTATAGGCATTTGGGCATCTATGGCGCCGGGTATACATCGAGTGTCAAAGTAAACAAAGTCCGTCATTCAAGACCATTGCCAGTATAATCCCCACTGCAGGTACACGCATAGCCCAATGATAAACAGTGCAGCCTAATGCTTTAGTTCGTATAGCGACTTGGCCCCCACGATCTAGGGAGTAGTGCCCCCGCTAAGCGACGGGCGGACCCTGAGTCTAGCGGGCCACACCAATAATGGCGGGCATTATACGGGAGCCTAGTACAACCTCAAGCTATGCTGTGGAGAAGGAGGCTTAGAGCCGAGTTCTTGGCCTACGAGCTCGTTGCTCAGGGTCCAGGCCGGGGAATGCGCGATTATTCCGATACCTATATGCTGTGGATACTGGCTTCGGATGTTGTATAGATTGCTTAGGCAGACATATATCTCGCAGCACGATTTCACTTTTATCGTGTAATCATTTAGAAATTAAGAGGGGAGGGAGAATGGAAGACAGCTTGAATAGGTAAAGAAACCCGGTCAAATAGAAGGATACGGCTCCTACAGAAGATCATACAGTGAACGGATAGGAAGTCCTTACAGACCTATGTGTTTCCTGAGGATCAACACTATGTGAGGAAACTACGAGACTGATTGCCTATTGGAGGATTCCAAGGTTCCCGGGTGATGGAGGATGTTTTAATAGGGATTTCTGTGATACTTTGAGTGAACGAAAATAGAGGAAAGATTGATGGTGTATAGAAGGGGTTCATATCATCCCACCTGCAGGATGGGACGCCTAGGGGGTTGTGTGACTATCCATCCCGCCGTTGGCTGGTTCGGGAATATGGTGGAGTCAGCGTAGTCTTATTATAACCACGTGATTTATAATAATATTATAATAATATAATAAGTAACTATAATATTATAGTATTTTTTAAAATTTATATATATAATTAATATAAAAATATACTAGTAAAATATAATTACTTATTAAAAATATATTATATATTATTTTAATTTAAAAATTTATTTTAAATTATATTTTTAATAATATATTAGCTAAGTGTAAGCTATATTTTTATATTTTTTATTTATTTTTAGTAAAAATATATAAATATATAGCTGGATATGCTTTTTAAGGGGGTAATAATAAATTATAATAAATATATAATAAGATTTTTAATATATACTTTTTTAATTATAAATTTAACTTATAAATATAAATTTTTTTTATTACTTTATATTATTAAAAAACTAGTTTGCCGGCTGCATCCTGTTTATTTTATATAAAAAAATAACCTAAAAAATATTAGTTTTAATAAATATTAAAAAAAAAATAAAAATTAAGCTATAAATTAAAAAAATAATATTTACCCTTAAAATACTTATAAAATAATAAAAGTTATTATAAAAAAAAGTTAAACTTAGTTATTAATATTTATATAACTAAAGGTACTGTTACCTGCAACCTTTTTTTTAATTTTAACTATTTTTTTATTATTTTTATTTTTTAGCTTATTATTTTTATTATTTTTAAAATATTTTACTTTTACCCTGGCGTCGCGAGCGTGCAAATAATATTAATTATTAAATATATAAAATTATTTAACTTACTAGCCTATTTTACCTAATAGTAATAAATTTATAAGTATAAATACTTATAAAAATAAATTTTATTATCCTAGGAAGGTATATTTTAAGGTAGTTTAAATTATATATATATATTATTATATATAACTTTTAATTTATAAATAAACTAGGTAAAGTGCTAGTATAGCTAGGGTAATATTAAATAGTACTTATAAAAATTTATTATTAAAAGCATTTTTTATACACCTTTATATTTATAAAGGTTTTTAATATAAGTTAAATTAAAATAATATATAATTTAATTATGTATATAGTGGTTAAAATATTAAATTATATATAATAATATAAAGTGTTTTATAGCTATTACTTTTATTAATATAAAATATATAAAATAAATAATTTCTAAAAGTTAAATAAAATTATTTAATATAATAAATTTATTTAAAAAGGTATAATATATTATTTTTGGGATTAGCTAGCTAAAAAAATATTAATATTTATTATAAGTATTAGTAAAGGGTTTTGCAAAGCTAAATAAATATAAAAAAATATATTAGCCTTATTATTTTATTTTTTAAGATTATACTTTATTATAAGAATTTAATTACTAGTATTTAAAAAAAAGTTTAGGTTATTTAAAGGGCTAGTAGCTTTGTGGTTAGTAGTAGTTAAAAAAAACTTAAAAATAATACTAAATAATATAATGTTAAACTAGGAAAAAAAGGTAATAATTAATAAAAAAGTTTATATTTTAGGTAAAAATAGTACTAGGTAGTAATACCTTTTTATTTAAAAAAGTTTTTTTAGGTTTAAGTAGTCTAGGTAATAGTATTTTTTTAAGTTTAATTAATAATAGTGTCTTTTTAATAACACTAGGCGGCTATTTAAAAAATAAGGTTAGTATATTATAGGTTAAAGGCATGGTTACTATAGGTATTTAAATAATAAAAAAATAAATTATTTTAAAAAAATAAATTTTAAAAAACATGGTTATTTTTAAAATTAAAAATAAAACTAAAGGCAGCGGGTGTGTTAGAATAAGAAAGAATAAGTAAATTATAAAAACTAAAGGTAAATAAAAACTACTATAATATTTTAGTTTAAGGTAGCTAAATTTTTATTACTAAACATAAGTTCCCTAAATTTATTATACTTAAAGGATTTTATAATTATAAATTAGCTTTTTATTATAAATAAATATATTATAAAGGTTAAAATTAATAAATATAAATCTTATCTTTAGCCTGGAGGTATTTAATTTATATAAGTATATAATTAAAGCTTAAAAATAATATAAGTAATTATTTATTAACCTAATATTAATCCTGTCCTAATATTATATAATATTATTAAATATTAATAATTAAAGCAAGCTTAAGAAAATTATCATGTAAATATATTATAATGTAAAAAAATACTAGTAATAATAATAGTATAGTTTATAGTAATAAAAAAAAATAAAAAATATATTTTAGTATTTTTTAGCTATTAGTTTTAATTCTTTTTTTAAAAGGGTAATTAAAAAATACTTTATTACTAGGGGCGGGATATTTTTTTACTTTTATTTTTTACTAGGCTATTTACTAAATAGTAGCTTTTTAAAATAACCTTTATTTAAATTAATGTATTTCTTATTTATTGCTAAATAATTTTAAAAGTTTAGTAGCTTTTTTTATATAGTTACTAAAGTTTAGTTATTAATATTATATAAATTATTATAAAGCTTTATTTTCGCGGCTAGATATACATAAATATTTAAATAATAATTAATTTATATATAGGATAAAATAATAGTAATATTAAAAACTTATACTTAATAAAAAACTAGTTATATTTTAAAAACTTATTATAGTTAATAAGATCTTGTAACTAGTACTATATTTAAAAAAAAATAAAAATAAAAAAGGCTTTAAAAAAATCGTTAACTAGCTTTTACTTTACCTAAAAGGTATTTTTAATAAAATTAAGGTAAAAAATAGCAGGTTACTCCGCGCGCGTTTTTATTTTTATTAATTTAATATAATTTTAGCTAGGTTAATTAAACTATAATAATATTAAAAATAGCTTGGGGTACTTACAAGCATTTACTTTAGTATTTATAACTTTTAATTATAATATATATTATAATAATATAAAAATATATTAATAAAACTAAAGCTTTTTTTATTAGTTAAAGTAAGCTTTTTATAAATAATAATATTTAGTCCAGCGTTATAATAAAACTAAATAAAATAAAATTATTAAAGTTAATATATAAAAGTATTTTAGTAGGTTATAAACTTTTTTTTATACTAAAGGGCACGGGGGTGTTTAATTTTAGGTATTTATAATAAAAAAAGGATAATTATAGCTAAATCTACCTTTTTATTAATAAGGCTATTTATTTTTATTTATAAAATTTTAGGCTTATTTTTTATACTATTTAAAATTTTAGTTTCCGCGGGTGTTTTATTCCTACTACTTTTTTTTATAAGTAATATATTTAATATGGTGGAAGTAGCTTTATATTATTTATATAGCTAAAAGTGGTATAAAAACTTAAATTTACTTTTAAATTATTAAAAGTAGCCTAGGAATTTAAATTTATATTTATAGTACTAGTATTTTAATAATATTTAAAATATAGTATTTAAATATTTATTATATAAAAAATTTTATAATTATTAAAAAAAAAAGTTAGCTATTTTTAAGTTATTTTTAAAAATAATAAAATATTAGAAACTAGGTACCTTTATTAGCTTTTTTTAAATAACAGTAGTAGTAGTAGCAAAATCTGCCTTTTTTTTAATAGCTATAGTAGTAGTAAGATTTACCTTTTTTTTAATAGCTATAGTAATAGCAAGATTTACCCTACCTAGGGTTAATATTTATATTTACTTTAAGTAACTATTTTAATTAATTTTAATAGCTAAATTTTTTTTTTTTTTATTATAATAGGATAAGATTTTACCGCTATATAAAATAAAAGTTTAAAAAAAATAAGATATAATTAAATTAATTTTATATTAAAAAAAAATAACTAGCCGGGGAATAACAGGCCTAGGTAAATAAAATTTTAAGGTTAAATTAATATAAATTAACTAAAATAAATAATTATAAAAGTTTATAACTAGTAAATAGTAAATATAGCAGGGCTAAGCCCTTATTATTATATAATTTTAAACCTATTTTAA